TAAAACACAGCATTGATAATAAAGAAACTAGATCAAGCCCCACAAAATGTAGCAGGGGTTAAACGAAGAAGCGGAAGATTGATGATGTGGATGCCAATGTGATTTCTCATTCTTCCAAAATTACACAAGTAACTGATATTGCACGATATTTGTGGGATCTAGATCGCGATATTCTCTATTATCATATACCAACGTACGAGAAGGGTGAGAAAAAGAAAGGTCTTCACTTTTTTTTATTAATTGAAATATTTTTGCAAATTTTAACTTCTTCTTTTGTGTCCTTTAAAATTTTAACTTCTTTGTCACTTTGTGTGCTAAAAAATTAATAATCTCTTTAGTTTAAAAGATCGGTCAATTCAAGTTCTGGATAGCGTTTTCTTACTCAAGGTATGCGGTACCCCGGATTTCACCCTGGGTACCGTAGAAATCTCCATATATATATCCAACAGCTTAATATTCGTTCAGAAATCTTGCTTAATTTAGGTGTTATGCATCTAAACATATCTCAAAGTTGCACATCTACACTCAAGTAGGAAAATGAAAGGGCTTATGTCAACCAATAAAAAGAGAAAATAAAATAAAATTATAAGTACATCAAGAAAAAAGTAAAGACAATGTATTTTATAATTGCGCATGGAAGAAAATATAATCACGTAAAAATAAAAATAGAAATAGTTTATAAAATTTTAAACATGTTATTGTACTATAACGAAAATATAATAACCAATCAAAATTTGCCGCCCAACGGGCGGGTATAAAGCTAGTTTAGAATGAAGTTGATAATATGGAGTGGAGAGTGAAGAAACTTATTTGACGAGGAGGAAGCTTTCAATTAATCTTGTTGTTTATAGATATTTATCTTTAATTTTGAACAATTTGTATTGATCATTTGCGGTTTGCTTGTATGTTCTAGATTGGTGTTTTTTGTATGAATAATTTGTATGAGAAATTTGATGTTAAAACTTTTATTTTGAAAGAAATTTGTTATTGTAAATTTTTTTACCACAAAAACCCAAGGGTACCCATGAAGCCTGGATACCCAGCGGGTTGGGTTTGAGTTTTTTAAACTCAGCGGGTTTTACCCCGGATTTTTTGGCGGATAAACCCATGAGTTTAGGTTTGGGTTTGACAAAACCCGTCCCAACTCGACCCATTGCCATCCCTAGCCCCATTTATAGGTCTCCATTGGACTCAGCATAACATAATATTAATAAGGGAAATGTCTATTTTTTATCAAAACATTTTTCAGATTCTTTTATATATCTAAACATATTAAAATGTTATTAATTAGCCAAATCTTTCGTAATGCATCAAAATATTAGCCATTTTTACATCATCGTTAGTAATTTTGTAACTCTTTTCTTAGCTAAAATACTAAAATTTTGCAATGTTGACCTTCATTTGTCTCTTTCAAGTCAGTATCATATTGCCAAGTCAATATTACTGACAACATTGCTAACTGAAAGTTAACATTTGATTAATTCTTAATATTTCGATAGGTTAGGATAATACAAAAGAATCTGAAAAAGATTTAGATAAAAATAGGAAAATCGAGAAAGTGCTTTTTTTTAATGGTAATCGAGAAAATACTTTAAGTTGCAAGTTGTGTTGATTAGCGGGTTGTGTTTATTTATTTATTTATTTTTTTATTGCCGCATGCCCACCCACTTACTCGCATCAACGTATTTCCCTTTCAGAGCTCCTTTTCCAATCTTTGCCTGCACTTTTAAATTGGGAGATAAACTTATAAAAAATATATATTGGGGGATCAACTATAACACTTGAGAGTAATCCCACAACGTCAGAATACGAAAAAGATCCATAATATATAAGAAATTGAACATAACAGACAAAACACGTTTTTGAATGATATTGGAGAGTTAATGTTAGAACTTCAAAGTTAAACGCACTCGTTGTACAACAGCTGTAAGGATGAATGACCTTATAAGAAATCACCTTAATATGCACTCTAAGACAAAAATCGTGAGATCAGACCAAAACGGACAATATCTTGTCGGGAAAAAGTTCATGATATTACGTAAAAACTAGAAAAAAACATCACCAATTCATTCATTTATGCAGCTTTTCAGAGAGGAAGGGAGAGAGTTAAAAGATATAAATCTTTGCTTTCTTTTTCCTATTTTCACATAACATTTTTGAAGTATCCGTACGACACTTTAGATGTAATTAGTATGTGCAAATATTGTATGGGAATTACTTGTGTATTCGTAGATGAATGAATACAACTACTTGCATGCAGGACAATCTGGATGAATGCATTGCTTGATCCTCCAACTCTTATTTATATATACATGGCCAGCAAGTGTATTACGCACCGCACACACGTCGAGATAATAGATTCATAGGCTACTGCTTTGACAGTGGCTTCCTTTTGCGCCCTGCCTGTCCAAGGCTTGACTTTTGGGCTTTAAGAATGGTGTTTTATTTTGTCTCTTTGCAGGCAATGCATGCCAACTGTTTCATGTTGCTCTGTTTCTTCCATTCCTTTTATGTCGCCATTAGCCCATTACCTAGCCTACCGCCTACTAGTGTTCTTCCTCGACTATCTCAATTCCTGCCCATGATGACTAATTTGCAATTTGCCACTTGCTTTGGACTGAAATTATAACTTTAATCTACCCCATAAACAAATAAATGATAAGTTTAATTTCATTCTTCAGCACTATCGAGTTAAGTGATCATATCATTTTCAAATGTGGACAGAATGAGCCAGTATAGCGAGTGAGTGGCCTAACCGGTAATAGATCGTTAAAAAACTCGATAATGAACCAGTAACTCATAAAAAAAACTATTATAAGTACTACACACAGGCTTAGGATAGGGTGAGTAATCGTTTGTTACTCACCCGTCAGTAACCACTTAGCAGCCGTTGATTTGGGGCGGACTCATAGTGTCGATGCGATTGATGCGGGGATGGTCAGGGGCATTTTTGTCCGTTTATATGAATTAATACTTTCCCTCTTTATCCGTTGTGAATCTTTGCGCAAGCTGGGATTGTGTTTTTGGAGAGAGAAAGTGCGAGCAACAGCTTAGAAACAGGGGACCGAGCTATGGAGAATTTCTCTCCATAATTGTTCGACAACGAGAACTTAGGTGGAATATTACCTAAATTGACGACGAGTTTATCTCCAGTTAGATATTAGTTTTTTCTGATTCTTCCTGTTCTGTCGTTAACTTTTAACCTAGCGTGATTTGTTGAGCCTTCTGTCGATCTTTGGTTTCGTTGAGCGTTCTATCGATCTTTGGTTTCGTTGCGATAATTTCTAGTTACATTGAGATTTTGTGTTTATTTGTAGGTTTTTACTGTCTGTGTGAGTTTCTTTGTGTTTTTGTTTAGCTAATCGAGCTTGTTCATGATTTTTACTGTTTGGTTTATGTTCATGTTCTTTGTGTTTTGGTGTTTTTGTAGGAATCTGGTGAAATGAGTTACGTAAATTGTGGCGAGGTTGTTCCATTTGATAGATCTGTTTCTTTATCTAGAGTTGTAGGATCTGGTTCTTCATCTAGGGTTGTTGGAACTAGTTCTTCATCTAGCGATGTTGGATTTGGTCATTCACCTAACTTTGATGTATCAGGAGGGAAGATATGCAAAGTTGTTTGTTAATTGAACTTTGAATGTGTTAGATACCATATGATACCATGGTGGTAATTACTGGTATACGCTAAGAGGTGATACCATAGTATTGTGTTGTGATACTATTGTGTTGTGTAATTAATTTTTACCATATCATAACATGGTGGTAATTACTTGTACCATGGTTGTAATCATTGGTATATGCTGAGATGTGATTCTGTTGTGGCGTAGAATTCATTTTACCATATCATACCATGGTGGTAATTCTTGTATCATGGTTGTAATTATTGGTATACGTTGAGATGTGATACTGTTGTGGTGTGGAATTAATTTAACCATATCTTACCATGGTGGTAATTACTGGTATATGTTGAGATGCGATTCTTTTGTGGTGTGGAATTCATTTTACCATATCATACCATGGTGGTAATTACTGGTATTTTGTCATAATAGTGTAGTTATGTTTTTCCAGAAATAGTTTGTTGTTGTTATTGGTGTAAAATAGTATACCATGTTGGTTTTTGTGAATGGAATACACTTTACCTTATCATACCATAGTGGTATTATATTTGTACATATTTAATATGTTGCTTTGTAATGTTTGTAGGTTTCAATGGTATATATCCTACTGTTCGTGATTCTTGGAAGGACTTACAGTTCAATACACCTGATGCTCTATAACACAACACCTAACAATGGCCAAGTGTAACCAATGAAAGGGACTGCAGTATAGTGGCACAAGTAATAAATATCGAATCCACGGGTCTCTAGAGTTACTATTACTCAGCTTCAGTTCATTATCTAGCAAACTAGATTAAGGATTGATTAACTAAACTACTCTACTAACTAAACTAAGTAAAACTACTAATTACAGTTTGGGAACTCACTTAGGTATGATTCCCCCTAGCTCCTCAATTAGGTCCAAGTTGTAATTCATTTTGGTTGATTTACTGTTGATTAAACTGCGGAAGATCCGACAGTAGCTTGGAATCTCTTAAGCTGACCAAGCCCTCTCAGTCTAACTATCCGCAGACGACTAGTCTTCACCGGGATAGAAAGCTGAAGCAATAAGCACAGAACTCCACTACTGGAATTGGATTCCAGTACAAAGCAGTAAACTGGCTAACTCTCGTATAGCCAATCTCCTACTACCGAATGATGAGACTCTAGCAACCTAATCAGATTCTATCTATCTCAGATTGCAGCAGGAATCAGGAAAAGTTGATCAGACTTCAATTGACTCAATAAACATGCATCATTCGATTATAATCAAACAATATAGCATCCAAAACTTCATACAAGAAAGATCCTAACTCATGGAACTAAGGTTCCTCAAAACCTAAGTGAAGGGAAGTTACTCCATAGAGAAGAGAGAGACTGCAGAAATCTGATCGAGATCTTCAATCTCCATCTCCAAGCTTGATTCCCGAGCTCCAATGGCGAAGAAATCCTCCAAAATAGCTCCAAGAATGTTTCCAAGCCGCTCTCTCTCTCTAGGGTTCGTCCCTTGGGTGTTTGGGATCCAAAACCCAGCTCTCCCTCTCCTTTGGCTCGAATTTGGGTTAAAAACAGCCATTCCCGACTCGCACGGCCAGGGTGCACGGCCGTGCACATCACCATTCTGGCCGTGCACCTCAAAACGCGGCGTATCAATTAGTTGAACCTCAGCCAACTCGCACGGCCAGAATTGTATGTTGCACGGCCGTGCGGATTTCACTTGTGCCCGTGCGTGCCCACGCACAATCCCGCACGGCCAAACTGGTCACTTGCACGGCCGTGCGTGGCCACGCACAATCCCGTGCGTGCCCACGCACGATCCCGCACGGCCAAACTGGTCACTTGCACGGCCGTGCGGGTTGTGGGTGTGCCCGTGCGATTTCCTCAGAACCTCGCCATGCGTCCGATCCTCGTCCAATCGACCCCAGACTCGCTCCTAAGCCTTCATTCACGTCCTAGGACCTGAAATATCACAAACAAGCACAACCTACCGTGAAATCGGCCTAAAACACGAGAATCAACACCTCAAACGGTGTAAGAATGGGGGTAAAAACATGTGTAAATGACGGTCTATCAAACTCCCCCACACTTAACCGTTTGCTTGTCCCCAAGCAAACCTAACTCAAACCAATGCAACTCTCCAGACCTCTATAGCAACAAACACCCCAGATCGTAGGTAGAGGACTTCCTAGATCATTTAGCAACTTACGAGGTCAACCGAAACACAAGTCATCTCATAGCTTCTTCGGCGAGAGCACTAGTATCGAGTCGGCATCATGGCAAATAGTGAACAGAGGACAAATGAATTGTGGATGAAGAGATTCTCAAAAACAAAAGATCATGGACTCACATTTTTCAAGGTGCTCTATTTTCTTCTTGAAGATGGTTGGAACCCCTTTTCTTTTCTGTTTTGCATGTTTTCTGTTATTTTTTTTTTTTCAAGGGTCCCAACCTGCTCTTACCGGCCATGCCAGGAGCGGATGTCTCGAGCCTCGTGCGGGGAAAAGACATGTAAGGGGGCTGGAGGTAGTAGGTGGAAATTGGGAACGAATTCCCGTCTCCCCTTACACACTTTCGCCCTATTCGCACGGGAGACGTTATTTTGAAGCATATTTTCGAGCACCTGTTAAACTCAAAACATGATACAAGAGTCCATGACAGGTAGAGAATCCACAACACCACACAATTCAAGGGCCCTAAGATCACTAATTCACTCAATCAACCAACACAATATGAAGAAGCAATGAGACTTCTTAAATGCATCAACATCCTCCATAGTGCTACACTACCTCCCTAGGTTGCATATTACTATAAAGACTGTCAATTCAAAGCATACTGAGCAGGCAATTGCAAGGAACACGTACTTGGAGCCCTCAAATTTCAAAATTTGGACAGTGGACTAGGCTCCAAGCACACAAACAACCAAACATTCACCCGCATAAATAATCGAACACCCCCCCACACTTAAGCAAGACATTGTCCTCAATGGAGGAAAGATAAGGAGGGTAGAACGAAGTTACCAGATCAAGGGTGAATGATGATGAACGGGTCAGGCGGTGCATCCCAGAAAGAGAGAGTAATCAGAACACAAACACCACACAAAATCTCACAAAGGTTGAGTTATTGACTCTAAAATCAAATAACAAAACTGACTCAACCGAGGATAAATAGAGAAAGAAATGCAAACCGACAGGTTGGGTTGCCTCCCAACAAGCGCTTCTTTCACGTCGTGAGCCGGACGATGGCTCCTAAGTTTCGGTCCATGCTAGAACCTCCTTGAAGTTGAGGTTCTCGTCGATGAGGTGGAGTCTCAAGTCACGAGCATGTGGTGTGGCAGGTGAGGAAGGCTCATGTACTTGATGCAGATGAAGTCTCCACCCTAGAGACCTCTTCTTCTCTTCTCTCGTCTCATTGCCCCAAACCAGATATGACAGCATCGATTGGCCACCATCGCGTCCACCAAGAGGGACCGATGTCGATGTGGCCTTGGTCTGGCAAAGAGACACTGCAAATGGGTCCTTGCCAAGCAGCTCCTCGAAGTTTGGTGGAGATATCACATGTAACTCATGGCCGGTGCAGGCCTCTTCCACCTTAACTCCGTCCTCAGCCTGGACGCCAATTGCTTCTTCAACCTCCCTTTCTTCTTCATGTGGTATCACCCCTGGGAAAAGATCAAGAACTCCTCCTGCTTCACTTTCTTCATCCTCCACAACTTCTTTCTGCACCCTTTCTCGCTCTTCTTCTTCTAGCACGGATTGGAGAGCAAGTTGCCAAGCAATTTCTTTCATGAGATTTTCTTGCATCTCCTCACTCATGCCCGCCTCTTCAAAGCTCAGTTTGGGATGTGGGAAGGTGTGGTCGGCTACGGCAGGAAATTCCTGATCATGATCATCACGAGAGCTTTTCGTGAAAACTTCTGTCTGCTCCACAATATCCTTGTAGCCTTCGTCTTCCTCCTCCTCTTCTAGTATGATAGCAGAAGGGTGATCTTGAGCAGGTTGTGCATAAGCTTTCTCAAGATCCTCGAGGCTCTTCTTTATGCTCAGGAGGGTCTCCTCTGTTTCACGGTAGGAGAACCCAGTTTGGGCATTGTCTGGGATATCCATCTTTGGAAAGGATGTCTCAGGTACTCGAGCAATCTGGTCCACGAGAAGCCTCAAGTGATAGTTTGGATCTGGCTGATGGAGGAATTCTTCTTGATAAGGAGATTGTTCTTGAAATACCCAGGGGTCTGATTGTTCTTCGTAGGATGGGGGTTGGTACTGAAACCCGAATCCATAGTCTTCTCCTCCTTGATTGCTCCAGGGGGTCTCGGGGTAATACCACTCGGATGGTGGTGGATACCCCCAATGGTTGGAGAAGCCATGAGGATCCATGATTCAGATCTGCACCAACAAAAACAAAAAACACCCAAGTGAAAAGAAAGGGTGGAAAAGCAAAGAAAAAAAAGCTAAAGTAACAAACTTCTGCCTTTCCTAATAATCTAGAAAGTCCCCGGCAACGGCGCCAAAAACTTGATGCTCTATAACACAACACCTAACAATGGCCAAGTGTAACCAATGAAAGGGACTGCAGTATAGTGGCACAAGTAATAAATATCGAATCCACGGGTCTCTAGAGTTACTATTACTCAGCTTCAGTTCATTATCTAGCAAACTAGATTAAGGATTGATTAACTAAACTACTCTACTAACTAAACTAAGTAAAACTACTAATTACAGTTTGGGAACTCACTTAGGTATGATTCCCCATAGCTCCTCAATTAGGTCCAAGTTGTAATTCATTTTGGTTGATTTACTGTTGATTAAACTGCGGAAGATCCGACAGTAGCTTGGAATCTCTTAAGCTGACCAAGCCCTCTCAGTCTAACTATCCGCAGACGACTAGTCTTCACCGGGATAGAAAGCTGAAGCAATAAGCACAGAACTCCACTACTGGAATTGGATTCCAGTACAAAGCAGTAAACTGGCTAACTCTCGTATAGCCAATCTCCTACTACCGAATGATGAGACTCTAGCAACCTAATCAGATTCTATCTATCTCAGATTGCAGCAGGAATCAGGAAAAGTTGATCAGACTTCAATTGACTCAATAAACATGCATCATTCGATTATAATCAAACAATATAGCTTCCAAAACTTCATACAAGAAAGATCCTAACTCATGGAACTAAGGTTCCTCAAAACCTAAGTGAAGGGAAGTTACTCCATAGAGAAGAGAGAGACTGCAGAAATCTGATCTAGATCTTCAAGATCCATCTCCAAGCTTGATTCCCGAGCTCCAATGGCGAAGAAATCCTCCAAAATAGCTCCAAGAATGTTTCCAAGCCGCTCTCTCTCTCTAGGGTTCGTCCCTTGGGTGTTTGGGATCCAAAACCCAGCTCTCCCTCTCCTTTGGCTCGAATTTGGGTTAAAAACAGCCATTCCCGACTCGCACGGCCAGGGTGCACGGCCGTGCACATCACCATTCTGGCCGTGCACCTCAAAACGCGGCGTATCAATTAGTTGAACCTCAGCCAACTCGCACGGCCAGAATTGTATGTTGCACGGCCGTGCGGATTTCACTTGTGCCCGTGCGTGCCCACGCACAATCCCGCACGGCCAAACTGGTCACTTGCACGGCCGTGCGTGGCCACGCACAATCCCGTGCGTGCCCACGCACGATCCCGCACGGCCAAACTGGTCACTTGCACGGCCGTGCGGGTTGTGGGTGTGCCCGTGCGACTTCCTCAGAACCTCGCCATGCGTCCGATCCTCGTCCAATTGACCCCAGACTCGCTCCTAAGCCTTCATTCACGTCCTAGGACCTGAAATATCACAAACAAGCACAACCTACCATGAAATCGGCCTAAAACACGAGAATCAACACCTCAAACGGTGTAAGAATGGGGGTAAAAACATGTGTAAATGACGGTCTATCAACACCAGATGATGCATATAATTTCTATGTGGATTATGGGAATCATGAAGGTTTTGGTGTGAGAATTCATAACCAATCAGCATGTCCGAAGCTCAGTGGTGGCTCTTCAGCTGTTTATTATATCAAGTATTGTTGCATTAAGGAAGGTTGGAGAAAAGGTAGCGAGAATAACCTGATAATGTAGGTCTTGTTGATACGAAGGTTCGTGTTCGTAATGTTCCAGAACTCAGGTGCTTATATACGACTGAGGTGGTTTAAAGAGTTGAAATGTTACAAGATCTATCATTGGTATAATGTGCACAATCATGACATGATTCCTCAATCTTTGCGTCACTATGTGAGATCCAACAGACAAATGTCTCCTGTGTACAAGATGTTGGCAGAGGTGAATGATGTTGCTGGTATTGGTGTGACTTCTTCGTACAATGCAATTAGTAACTGGTGGTGGTCAAAAGTTTGTTGGGTTCACAAAGAATGATTTGAAGAACCATCTGCGAACTGTGAGGACGTTATCAATGGAGTATGGTGATGCGACTGCATTGCCTGCATACTTTAGACGTCAAGCACAACTGGATCTTGTGTTCTTTCATGAGGTGGAGGTTGATGTTGAAGTGAACATTGCTAGTATTTTTTGGGCAGATGGGAAGATGCGGATGGATTATCATTATTTTGGTGATTTAACCACTAGGTATGTTTTCTAGTTTGTTGTTTATTATTGTCTTTGTGAGTTTGTATGATTATGTTTATCATTCTGTATCATGGTTATATGAGGTGGTGTTTGCTTTGTTGGAAGTCTGTACCATATGGTATGGGTTGGTATGGATTAGTGTTTTGTTCTTAGAAGTCTTTATCATATGTTACGAGGTGATATTATTGTTATTTGTACCTTCTACCACGTGGTACGTGTTGGTAGAATTTTTTTTGCTCACATTTTTTAATGTTTTTGTAGCCTTGTTTTTTGGTTTCATCATTATCACCAACTCACTGTCTTTGCGGCTGCTCTTCTATATGATGAAACAACAGCAACATTTGAATGACTTTTTGATCAGTTTTTGAAATGCATGGGAGGTGTGAGACCTCATCAATGTTTATTGATCAGGCTACTGCAATTGCTGCTGGTATAAGGTCTGTTTTCCTTGATTGTTTTCATGGGTTGTGTACATGGCAAATTGCTCAGAATGCTGTTGTTAATCTGGGAAGTTTGTGTGACTTTGATTTCCTTCGTGAGCTTATTTGATGTATAATGCTGATGATGAGGATGATTTTGAGTATAATTGGAAGAAGATGATTGAGAAGTATTTTCCTAGGAAGGGACCTTTGGGACACAGTTGGTTACAGGGCACTTACAAAGTCAGGAAGAAGTGGTCTTCAGTCCGGGTGAATTGTTATTTTGGTGCAGGAATGAAGAGTATCCAGCTAAGTGAGTGCTGCAATAGTAATATTCGACATTACTTGCAGTCAGAGTTTAGCGTTACTAGATTCTTTGTCCACTTTGAGAGGATACTTGATAATAAGAGGGATGCTGAAGAACAAGAAGAGTACTATGCGTTATCTAGGTTGGCTGATTCTCGGTTTTCTACTAGTCCTATTGTGAAGCAAGTTGCTAATGTGTATACGCCGAATATATTCAAGTTTTTCATGGATCAGTACAAGGAACCTCTTGCGTATAATATTTTTTCAAATACGGAGATAGAACCAGAAGGACATGTAGGAATATTTGATGTCTTCATATTGGAGGATGACCTTACAAAGTTAGATAGTAGGGTGTCGAAGGTTGATTTTGATAATGGTGAAATCAAGTGTTCCTGCCGTAAGTGGGAGTCAAGTGGTTTGATCTGTAAGCATCAAATGAATGGATATGATATGTTGTGGTCTACAACATGCAATCTGAAGTTCCAGCACATTCCTATTAGTTTGATTTTGAAGCGGTGGACAAGAGCATCAAAAACTAGAGGGAACTTTTGTTTTGAAGTTCCGTCTACTGATAGTCCAGCGAAGTACCGATCTCGTCTGTTCAATCTGTCAGTTGTTTTTGCATCAATGATCAGCAGGGTTTCGTTGGATGATGATTTGTATAAATCAGGCATGGCCTTCATGACTGATTTGATCAAAAAGTGTGAAGTCCTGCCGATTATTGAACCTGCTGGAACAAACATGTCTTCTAACTGTGACAATATGTTTTATTGTTTAGAGTTTTGTGTTTTGATATATGCAATGTTTGAGGAGGATGATTCTTTTATATATATATAGTGACTACTTCGACGCACTCATTTTTTAGGGTGCACTGTGCACCCAACTCTAAAAGTGATCATAGTACATCAAATTTTGAACTTTAATTAGTACTATCAATCTAATATGATTATATGACATAGAATTATAACAAATCAATCTATTACCCTAACCCCTTAACCTTCAATTTTTAATCCCAACCCAAAATCCCAAATTGTAAACCTAAACCCTAACCCTAAATCCCTAGATCCTAAATCCTTCAAATTAAAGTAAATTTTGAATATATTTTTTTTTCCAGATTAATGTGCTTCTCGTCCATAATATCATAAGCAACAATTGATACCGTTTTGATATGAATCGCATGCTCAAAATGACAATTATGAGGCAGGTGCACCCAAAAAAGTGGGTGCACCGAATACGCCATCACATATATGTCATTGATTGCAGTTTCTTTTTGTTATCTTGGTATAAATGATGTGTAGGTCCGAAAAGTAAAGGGGTTTAAGCCTAAAAAAGATTCATTCAAGCCTTCGAAACGACCAATTCTAGTTGCGGAGACTGCAAGGGCTACAACTAAGAAGAAGAGAAAAACTAGCAGGCTTGAGGAGGAGAATTTGAAGGTTGTTGAAGAAAGTTTGAGGCGGAAGCTGTGATAGTTGTTTAATTTGTTGAATCACAGTTTTCATAGAGGATTATGTGAATGAATCGTTAAAGCTGGTTGAGTTGTTGAGCCTATTTTGTTCTTTCGGATTTGTTCTGGTTTTGTTGGATATTTTTCTTGTCTTGTTGAATTTATTTTACCATGTCATACCATGCGGTATAGTGTGTTTTTTTGGAAGTGCAATGTGGGGTTGTGTGTGGTAAGTGTTTTTGCAATGTCATACCATGTGGTATAATGTGGTAATTTGATGTTACCATGTTATACCATGTGGTATAATGTAGTAATTTGGGAAGTGGCATGTGGGGTTGTGTTTGGTAATTGATTTTACAATGTCATACCATGTGGTAAAATGTGGTAATTTGATGTTACCATGCTATACCTTGTGGTATAGTGTGGTTTTGTGGGAGTGCAATGTGGTGTTTTGTGGCAAGTGATTTTACCATGTCATACCATGTGGTATAATGTGGTAATTTGATTTTCCATGCCATACCATGTGGTATAGTGTGGTAGTTATTGGCACATGTAAAAGATTATTATATTTGGTTTCAGTAGAATGCTAAGTATTAGCTAACATAATCATAAACATAACATATCACTTAATCATAACATACCCATAATAAGCTGTTTGACATCTAAGTACTAGCACCAATAACCATAACAGTAGTTTCATACCATCCTACTAACTAACACAAATGAAGTGACTACTGAACATTATGAGTTTGTTCTCAAAATTTTAGTTATACCTTCCTACTACTTAACACAACTATAATAGAAGTTTCATGTCCTTTCTTTTAAATATTCCTCTTATTCTTTATATTGCAGTACTTTGTTGAAGATTTCATGATCCTATCCCGTTCAAGATTGTCTTCATCAAGAATGATGTCCAACATCAGGCACTCTCTTTCTTCATTTATCAGATCAATCTTCTTTCAATCTTTGGTTAGGACACTGTTGTACTTACCTTGCCAGTGTCTGATCCACCTGATGATGTACATCCCACATGACTTGAAGTCTGGTTGTGTAACCTTTTTGAGGTTGAACCAGATAAACCTCTCCCACTTTACTGTGTTGTGGGAAAACTATGTCTTCATGTAGTTGATTGCGTACTGGACAACCCTCTTTGCCATTTTTTGTAGTTTTTTTTCAAAACTTTTGTGATAGAGACTGTCGAGCACTTCAAACCTTTCTCCTATGATGTTCACACAAATCATGATTTAGTGTTTGTTATCACAGTAAGGGAAGAACCACTGCAAAAGAATTTATAACTGATTAAAAGAAGTTTACATGGTAAGCACTAAAAGTATGTCTTGCCACATGCTATGATATAAAATTGTGTTGAGATACTTACAATGTTACATTCTGTGAAGCTGAGGTTTCTTGTCCATTCTCTGTTGCTGATGTCCAAGTCCAGTTTGTTGTAGTAATCGTCTGGAGTTAGTGGAGGATTGTCAGTATCAATGTCCAGTTGGCAGTCACCCTGAAAGTCATGGTTGTTATTTTGTGTTTTATAAATGGGTTTTTTAAGAACTATTAACACAATATGGGTGGGTTTACTTACTGCCAAAGATCCAATGAAGAACCACCTTTCGAATTTTCCTTTTTTTGCTTCATTCCTGTTCATTCGATCTCCATACCAATCGATAACATCAAATGTGATTTCACAGCCAATGTCAATCGAGTGTAATGACTCCCTTTTCAGTAAGAATGTTGCATCCTTCCTCCTAAACATTATCTCTTCACTGTATAAAAGCACATCACATCAGGACTTATGATTTACTCCATTTTATAACATCAAACCATAGCTTACCACAACAAACCATAGCTTACCACATCTTACCATATGGTATTAAACCAAAACAAAACAAGACTTGTGGATTATTCCATTTTATAAGATTAAACCATAGATTTATATAATCTTCCCATATAGTAATAAACCAAAACACAACAGGAGTTATGGTTTACTCCATTCTATAACATTAAACCATATCTTACCACATCTTACCATATAGTATTAAACCAAAACAAAACAGGACTTGTGGATTACTCCATTTGTATAACATTAAACCATAGATTTATCTAATCTTACCATATGGTAATAACCAAAACACAATAGGAGTTATGGTTTACTCCATTCTATTACATGAAACCATAGCTTACCATGTGTTTCTTCTAGAAAGCTTGGCATGTGGTGAAAACCGACATCTGTAAGGCTCTGGATGAGTTCTTTATTACGGGTCATATCCCTGATTCTGTGGCACATTCCTTCATTTGCCTCATCCCCAAGAAGACTGTTGCGGAGGATGTGTGTGATTACC